TATATATATACATATATGTGTGTGTACATAGACCACATCGATATCCTACCATTAATCGTCAGTGGTTATTATCGACGTGCTAATTACGAATATATCGCCAGAATAGAGAGTTAATTAATCGAGCTTATGAGTATTATATATTTATCAAGAATTGCATCTATTTATTATATTAATTATATTATATGTGAAGTACTTTTTATACAAGTTTTAAACTGTTTATAAAATTAATTTTCGATGCATTAGGGATATCAGATAACCTCTTACCTGCGCTATGTAACGGGGGATGTTTGAATTTCCGCTCGGCCGTTATATGCCAGCATCCGGGCGCGGCGAGTTGCAGACCCACCCCGATGAAATGCACCAATACCGAACACGTGACAATGACGTATCCCCAGCCTCCCTCGGGGTAATAATGCCGTCTCAAAGTAGCCTCCTTTCTGAAGTCCACTGTCGGTCGCGCCGGCGACAAGTCGTAGCTCTTTCTCAGTTGCTCCAGCTTTTTACCGTCCCTATCCACGTTTCTTGCCTCCCCGATTAGACGGTCCCCCTGCCAGATATCCTTGCTTTGATGCCCCTCGGCGCGCGCCTCCTTTTTTTCACGTCCGACCAGATTATTGTCGCGTCGAACGCCGCGCGCGTTCGCGTCGTTTTTTCTGCCGCGCGAAGGGTAACGAAAGGGATCGATCTGCGAGCGGAGGACACCCTCGGACGTGCACTTTGGACAGGCGTGAAGATCGTTCTTCGATGAGAATGACATGGCTGTCACATAATCGTCGTAGTCCACCACCCTGATGTGCGGTGGCGAGGACGTGCGTCCTCTCGCCGCAGAGGACGTCGGCGAAACGGCAGTTTGATATTTTTTCCTCGTCTCATCCGTCTCTCGCGTTTGCGAATTGTTTGTTTGCGCGACGCTGACTGTGCGCTGGCTTTCATTTGCAACGTTCACTATGACATCAAAGGCATTCGTCGCCGCGAACGAGGGAGATTTGTTTTTCAGTTGTGCGGACGCTTCTTTGGCTTCTTCCCCGACATGCAGATTTCTCGGGAAATCCGTATCCGATGTACTTCTCACGATGGAGCCTCCTTTCGCGTCTCTCGTCCTCGCTTCGTTAATCTTCACGTGCGTGTCCGACTTACATCTCGATTGACCTCGGACAATGTTTTCTTCCAATACGATGACCGAGTTCCGATGAGCTGCGGTTGTCTCGATTAAAGAGAGACTGCGCGGCATGAAATATCGGCTGGTATTTTTTATACCCCTCGTCTCGTTATTCGCGTCGGACGAATTCTCGGAGAAATTCGCGGGTTTCTTATTTATAGGTGGCCTTCCGTCGATTAATCTTCGTTTTATCATCACGGACGCGACTCCTCCTCCTGGGGCGCATCGATCTAGAAGGATGACTTCTTCCAGGCAATTAGATCGCGGTGCAGTTTGTTCCAATCGATATACCGTCTCGCGGCTCGTTGGGATGATAGTAAAGGCACGGGATAAGGGATCGACGCGCACCTTCACTTTTTGCGGCGCTCGATCGGGCCAAGAGCTGCTGTGCCTCATTTTACTCTGTCTGCAGCGTATTGTCATGCTACGCCAGAAACTTTTACGGTCCACTCGAACGAGCACATTGTCGGATGAGACTCTTTCCCGTATCCTTTAGCGGGCAGATAACTCTTGTCCTCGGAGGCGAGGATTTGGCAATCCGCCTTGGCATACCGGCGATTTGTGTCCGCGCGGAAACAATAGGGATTATAGTCGATAGTAGCAGAATCTGCCGGGAGTACTTGAATATAATTTGCAAACGAGTCGCATTCCCGATGCGGTATACGCGCAAAGCGCGCGCACACGTGTAACCGTGCCGTAACTCTTCGTGGTAATCGTGCATATTTTATAAGTGTGTCACCGGGCGCGTTTTATGACGTTCACTCTATATATTTCCACTGGAGCGCGCGTTCAAAATAAATCAAAGTAAATCCGAGAGGTATCAATTTCTTCTGAATCTTCCTCCCCTATCGCGAAGAATTTTTACGTTTATTTTAAGACGAGCTCGCGAATTAAAGCAAGATATTTGATATTTACGACCGAGAAATGTAACGAGGCATTGATAACCGGCTGATTTTAAGGGGGGTTTTCTTTTTCGCGTGGATGCGTGAACGCGAGCGCCGATGTGATTGCAAATGTTTATTGCGCGAGATAATGATCTGCAAGATCCGATGATGGAAAGATGACTTCCGAGATGCAAGCGGTCCTGGCGAATGCGCCAGGATGACTGCTACGCACGTGCTGCTTACTCGCGATCAACCCTCTCTCTATGCTCTCTCTCTCTCGCTTTCTCTCTCCCTCTCATACTTTGGCGGATGGCAGGCGCATGCTTGCAGATACCCGACGAATCGCGAAAGCTGCGTTTTCCAGCTTTTTTGCTACAATGTGAGCGCTCATGTCGCGTGTTCATATGTCTCTGCTTCTCGCGAAGTTTATGGCGCGCGCATAATTTAGCGGAACACTTCTTGCAGATTTAGGCCTTGATCAAACTGAGCTCTCAATATCTGTACTTTATATCAAACTACTTTATTAATAATTAAAAGGGTTTCCAGGCTTTTTGCCTCTAAGATAAAATTATAACGAAGAAATAATATGAAATGAATTTACAAGCACATACTTATTTGAAAAATTTTACAAGAATGAACCATGGAGGTAAGAAATAACAGGAGGAAGTGTAAGGTCTTTTTGTTGGTGGGGATTACTATGCCGAATGTGATTGATTGGCCACAGTAATATGGCGTTTTATACAAACTTTATTGGAGTTCGGGATTACTACGCCAAATGTAATTGGTTGGCCACAGTAATATGGCGTTTTGTAATGTTCCTCCCTTACGTCTGCTTAGCCAGGCCGCGGGGGAATATGCTCCCTCCTGTTATTTCTTATCTCCATGGAATGAACCATGTAAAAGAGATTTTTATCTCTTTTTCTTTTTTAATTTTACACGAGAAGAACGATTTCGTTGAACGATCTAAAAATTTTGCTAAATACAGATTTGAAAATAATTCTTGTTTGATCATCAAAATAATTTGTTGGAAAGTTAAAAATTATAAGCATTGCTATAAAACATTTTAATATTCTAACAATCATTGTGACTTTCCAACAAAATTATTTTGATTATTCAACAAAAATTATTTTCAGATTTGGATCTACCAAAATTGGTCTTTCCGTGTATTAAAGTTTTTTTTTTAAATTAATATTGAACATGTCGGCTTTAATCGACTGGATTTAATTGACAGATATGATTTCATATCTGGCATGAAAGTGTTATTCAAATGTCTCTTCGGAAGTTTCAAACTGCCTCTAGTTACATAATCTGTATGGCTATAAATATATACCCGCAGGAATGACTAATCCGCACAGTCATTTAAGTTTAGCGAACTTACGGATCCAAGCTCATCATATAGTGGAGACACTCACATATATTTACACAATTCTATACACATATACACATATTGTTTATTTACCACAACGATATAACAAAAATGTTCGATGTAATAAAACGATATAATAAAAATTGTCATTTTTAATTTGTAAATTTATTGCAAAAAGGAATGAAAACATAAAGAAAAAAAGAACATACTTTAAAGGAACATATATCGCCATTCCTCTACAATCAGTCATATTCAAATTGCATTTCAAAATTTTAAAGATTTGAAACATTCAAACTTATTTTTCGAAAAATTTTGTTATCTGAGATATGTGAAGTGCAATAGATAGATAAAGAAAAAAAAGATAAATAGAAGTAAAAGATTAACTAACTAATTATATAAGAGTATTTAATTATTCTTTATAATTTCTTATAATCATATAGATACTATTGTAATAAGTATTCATTGATAAATTTGAAGAAGATTACACATTTATATATTAGCACCGTAAATTCATAAATTCTTTTCTCTATATAATTTCAACTTCATAATGTTTTAAATCACATTATCTTAAAGAAGCTCGTATTACACGTTAAATTCTTTTGATACGTTTATGTATAATAACGTAAGTTCTGTTCTCTATACAACTTCAACTTTATAACATTTTAAATCACATTATCTTAAAGAAGCCCGTATTACACGTTCTTTTGACACATTTATATATGCTAACGTAAATTCGTAAATTCTCTTCAACTTCATAATGTTTTAAATCACATTATCTTAAAGAAGCCCGTATTATACGTTCTTTTGACGTTGAACGCCCCAATTTGTCTCGCGAAAACGGGGAAATTGTAGTCTCGGAGAATTCAAGCTTGTTTCTAGAGCGGTCTCTGTAATGCTATTATGCTTTCCATTTACCTCTCATCGTGTAGAAACTGACCTACCTTTACGACGCGTGCGATCAGTCGTTCACAACGATCCGAGGAAAGCCGTCTAAACAATGAGAGCTACAACTTGGGGCGGTGTCGGGAATGAATGATGAATTCCTCGACGGGGGAAAATGGGTGGCGAAAGGCAGAAACAGGCACAGGAGAGAAACGACCGACGAGGATCGTTCGGAGGAGGAGAGGAAGAGAGAGAGAGAGAGAGAGAGAGAGAGAGAGAGAGAGAGAGAGTCGTAAAAATTCGTTCGCTCGGGAGATTACCCGCGGCGATGTCATCGTCGGCAAGGACGCGGCGATCATGCACGTTTATTCGACTGCGCGCGTCTGCAATAATATGACATTTCTCGTCTTTTTTCCTGCAGGAATAACAGCTCAAGTATAGTTGGCGCCTTGTTCGAGGCGAGGATGTCGCGGTTGGAAAATGCACACGGACTGGCGAAGGCATTATTACCGATGATATACGAATTCCACATGCGGAAGTTCGCGGAAGGGGGGAGGGGGTGGAGGAAAGATAAAGCTTCCGTCGTCGTCGTGACATCGCCGTCGTCTTCGTCTTCGTCGTCGTTGTCGTTGTTTTCGGCGCGATGCGAAAGGGATAGACTGCAAGGATGCGGGTGTTTGGATGCACGCGGTAGCGCGTCGATAAATTTAGGCGGGCGATGAGCGCATGCGAGTTCCTTCAGATGCGCGCGTGCAGCCTCTCTTAAAGTTCGCGTGATTTATCGCCGCATTAATTCGGGATCGGTCTTGGCTCCAGCGAAGCGGTGAATGTGACACCGGCGCGAATTTTATCACGCGTTGTCGGACGGACGTCTCCTCCGCGGATACTTTGTTAAGTGGAGCACGGCTCCTCTCCGTCCGTCGTGCGAAAATATTCTGCGGTCGAATTAACGCGCCTCGCGCGAGAGACGTTCAATGGAACCCCTCAGGCGTGACTTAGCGAGATTACTTTGTCAGCTTGGAAAAAAAACAAAAAAAAACGTTGTAACTCAAACGCCGCGGATATAAATCAGTAAAGAGATACGTGCGCTAACGTGCACGGGCCGAAGGATATAATGAGATTTATGATGGATTGGATGCTGCTCAGCTAAAATTTTAATTCCCGAAACTGTGTGTACGCCGCGGGAGTGTTAACTCATTTATATCCACTGTTTCGCTTTCACAACATATTGTACCGATCGTAAAGTCTGTATGATGCAATTGGATCTAACCATGAATATAAAGCAGCTACTTGCGTAATTGGATTGTGAACATATTTTACGATATAGCTGTAGCCAAATATATGTTTTTATTGAAATACTTTTTATTTTGCGAATATTGAAGAGTTTTGACGACTTATTGATGTTTCATTTTTTTTTTAAACTATGCACAGAGAAAAATATTTCCTTACATTCAGTATTTCTATTTGTTTGATTTTCAATTGTTTATTTTATTGAAACAATATAATTTTTAAATGAAATATTATTTTGTAGAATAGAAATTTTGTTGCATTTAATTATATTGTTTAGAGCAGAGAAAACACAATTGTTTGAAACAATTCTTTTCGACATTTGTCAAATCTAAAAGTTAAAGAAATATTTTTCTTTGTGTACAAAATAAAAATCTTTTATACGAATTAAAAATGTTAAAATTTCAGAGGCCAGAAGTAGGACTTGAACTTTTATTAGGCTAATAAAATGGATGTATTAAAATCATGAGAGTGATCGATAAAAGTAGAGTGAGTATATATGGGTTAGACGAATTTATTCGAATTTATTCAAATTGACGGTGTGACGAGGCTAATCTTGAACTAGGCGAAAAATCAGGAACAAGATCTTCACGGTGTAACAGCAAGTTTGCGAGTATAGTGGCTGGCGCGGGTTACTCCCCATTTTAGCGGCGCGTTATCAGGTCGATCTGTCTCGCTTGTACGAGACATTATTATATGTAACTAGAACGATCTTGATGCGTATGTTATTTCTCGGTGCTTGCTCTCAACCTGGTCTCCCCGGCTGATAGCACAACCCCGGCTGATCGATATATACTCGAAGAGTACGACGGGCAAACTTTTCTTCGTCCTTATACGACCATCGTATCCCTCTAAAAGTTTGCGGGGAGTTCGGTTATTGCATTTTGAAGTCGCTGCAGCGAAATTTGAAGAATCGGCGAAACGACACGTCGAAAAGTGCTCGGGCACGCCGTGAATGTCTGCGAATAATTTCAGCGTTCCGCGAACTGACTTATCTCCTTCTACCTCGCGGACGGAAATGGCATTCCGCTTTTATCTTCGTGCCTTGTAACAAGTTTTCAGAGAATGCGGATACGACCCGTACTCCCTTATGATCTATTAAATCTAGTTACGACCTTGATCGCGCGCTCGCGCCGCGCTCGATACGAGTCGTAAAACTTATCCGAGAGAATCGCGGTCGCATCTCAAACGATCGTACCTTTGTTTGTCTTCCGCCGCGGAATTTATCCTCCGCCACGGATGCTCGCGCGCACAGGAGCCGTCTGCCGCGATTTTATCCGTGAAAATTATGTTTGACGCCGATCGCACCGTAACGCGCCAGCCGTTCTCTGCGCATCGAGGCGATCTGATCTGATGCAGTCTAATCAGCCGATAACGAGAGCGATAGAAATTCCTTTTGTGGCCGTTTGAGGCGCGAGGGCATTTTGACCCGCGTACACACGTGCAGAACGAGATCTTGAGCGCTAATGGATGACCACCAAACCGCCACTTTAGCGAGATTGAAACTGTCGTTCACACGTACCGAGCATGATGGATGCGGTGCTTTATAAAGTCGTTCGCTCCTCGTACGTACTCGTTAACTCAAGAGACTCTTATACCTTTCCTATGCTTTCCTTCGCGTAAATAGCGCGTTCGTTTCGTCTCATTTGATAAACGCGTCAGATGGCTGAGGAGGCCACGGCGCGGCGCGAAAAGCAGTTCTTAGGCTGTTAAAGGCGCTCGAATATTTCGAAGCGCTTCGGATCTTGTGCCTTGAAAGCTATCAGCTTTGCTTTTGTCGTTTTTAAACGCGTTTTCCAATTATTGCGCCCGACCATTACAAACTCAAGCATCAATCTTGAAGGCTCATCAAACATGCCTTTGTCATTTTAAATGCTTTCCAATTATTGCCCCAGCTGCAATAATTCCAAGACTGAAAAGCGTGATGTCTGCTTTTGTGTCATTTTACACGGTTTTCAATTATCGTGTCCGGTCGCTATGTGATTTTTTTTTGCTTACCAAGTCTGAAAAGCGTCTGGCTTGCTTTTGTCTTTTTACATGTTTCCGATTATTGCATTTGACCGCGCGTAATAATTTTAAGTACAACGCTCGAGAAACGTCACTGTTATTCTTATTTTATATCACTGGCTCTGGGTGCTGTCATTTTCTAGGTGACCTGTTTCATTTCGGAGGGGACGATACGAATGGTACGGAAAGCGTTTAAATTATTTCTGTACATTGGATTTTAATCGGATGAATCAAAACTTTCTGTTTTGTATATCCATTATTAAATTATATTTTTTTAATCTAAGACATTCGATAATAAAAACAAAACGTGAAAAAATTTAATTGATCTATGCAAAGAAAGTCATTCATGTATGCACATTTACGTGTGTTTGCTTTCAATTAATTTTTGTTATATTGCGTTAACACAAAGCAAACATTGAACATTAGTAATTAATATGCTTTAATATTTTGATTATTTAAAAATAAACGCGCGTCTCAAAATGATCTTAAAGGAATCTCGAGGATCATTGATCGACAGATAAGAAAAGACGACGATTTCGAAAAGAATTTTTATTATTTACAATATCACTATAATCTATGGCAGGGCGTCGAGATCGGCCAAGGCGATCTTCATCCTCGTCTTGAGCTCGTCCGCGTAGCGCAAAGCGGATTCGTCGATCCTAACGTCCTCCATCAAGAGATCGCAATCGAGATGTCGGCTGTCGCAGGCCCGATGATGGTGCTTGAGCACGTCGTTTGAGTCCAGATGATGAGCCCGTCTGGTGGACGGGTTCAGCGTGGTTAGGGCGTAGTGATTGTGCACCGTTAACGCGCGCCTCGTGGAGACGAAACTTTTCACCGAGTCGCCCTCGGGCGAGATACTGGCCGTTCGCATGGTATCCAGATAGTCCGTATAGCCGGCCGAGCGATCGGTCTGACTCTTGTTTTGCAGCTCGGGAAAGAAATAGGCATTGCGTACTGAGTACGAGGCGAAGTCCTTGAAGCTTCTGCCGAGCTTCGCGCGCTCGTCCAGCAGCAATTCGTGCCAGGTCCTGCGTCTGGTCGGCACGATCGCCTCGTCGATGTCGATCGGCACCACGAACTCCGACCGGTGAAGATTCTCGTAGAAGCAGTGATTGTACGGGATCAGCTCCATCCGCCTCTTCGTCCAAATGTCCTCGCTGAAGAATCGCCGTCGGGCCGTCCTCTCGTTCGGCAGATCACCCGGCAGGCGGAGCTCGAACCACCGCACCACGTTCGATCGCTCGTACAAGCGCAGGACCTTGAGCACGTTCTCGTGCACGTTGAACACGTAGAAGTAGAAGAGATTGGCGCCCAGAATGCGATGCAGCTCGACGAAGGCTATCAGTTTGTGCGAGATGTCCTCGTCGAAGTCCAGTCCTTTGATGCACAGGGTGAACTGGCGCCTCTTCCGCTCGGCAAAAGCCCCGTCGCCGAATTCCGAGCGGGTCGTTAAACTATGACTAGCATTCTCGTGGCACGGACTCGGACCCACGTGTACCCGGGACGTATGGCGCACCGAGCCGTCCAACGGCAATTGACAATTCACTAGGATCCCGGTGTAACTGTCCGCCGCGTCGCCCCATTCGTCCAACCAGATCGTCGAGACGAGCGCCTCCACGCTCAACGATCGCGTCCTCCCGTGCTCCCGGTACCTGAAGAAGCACACAATGAGACCAAAACGGCTTAATCCGTCTTTTCCGATCGAAAGGACGCGTTGGTTAATCGTCGAGTATATAGCGGAAAGAACATCTGCACGCACCGTGGAAGGTATTCATATAGAGATATTTATAACGCGGTCTTTCAACCGTGCCATTTTAAGCGAATACGCTCCGTTTCGCGCCGTTGCTGACGTTTGCATTACTCACTTCTAACGCTTATACTCGAAACAACTAACAACTAACTTGTATGCAAAGTGGGGAAGTTCAATCCGCGTTAACGAAGTTTAATCGTCGAAATTAAAAGTACGAAATAAATTAAGATATACTTTGTCCGTGCTTGATATTAATGTACGTTACGTACGTAAGTTACGTCCCGTGTGTCATAAATTTTACGTGAAGTTTGTTGAAAGAAACAAACATTCCAGCACTTTTCTCACAACATTCTCACGACAGAAAGAAGCGAAACAGACAGATGGACACGCGAGCCAATTTTATATCTTAACTGATAACGAATTTATCGTCCATTATTTTTATTCATTAAAATGTTTAAAGCAGTTTAAAATTACACTTCGGTAATTAAGCTTAAAATTTAAAGCATATTGTGTCAAATTTACACAATTTATTTAACTGACAATAAATATCAGTAACGATCGTGGAGTGTTTCACACACTTGAGATGAGCAAACGTCAACACGATACAAAGTGGAGCTTATAATATTTTTATATGTGAATCTTACAATTGCGCAATTTAATTGCTAATGTAATTTAATTTAATTTTGATTACAGGGATAGAGGAAATATTTACATTAATAACCTAAATAATTTAGTTATTTTATTTAATTATTCTCATTGAATTTATTAAAGATGGTTGATACTAAAATCAAGTCAAGTTGTTATTGCGTGATTTGTAGAAGCGATAGGCGACATAACGCGCTCGTTTATGAGCATCCTTTAGTGATTCTCTTTTCCTTGATACTTAGCGTGCGTCAGAGATAGACGAGTAACGGGCTGCATCACGACGTGAAAAATGGCTCACCATATAGTGCAGAAGAGCGCGGAGGGCGGCAGGGCGCCTCGTTTAACGCCAATCACTCTGATGCTCGGGTAACCGGCGATTCTGAGGTCCAAGTGGGCGCTGTACAGGAAGAGCTGTCCCGGGATTGTCTCGAGCCATTTCGTGCCGGGCAGCTCGTATGCGTTTAACGCCATTCCGTGCGTTCCATTACCATCGCACTGCTTGGTGGGCCTGTAATCGAGTGCCAATCTACGGGCCCACGAATAAGCGACGATGCTTCTTGTGCCTGGCGGTTCACCCCCTAGAACATGCGCAAAGAAGTCGTTTGATCGGAACGAATGAGAGAAAGCACTTGGTGAAGTTAATTGTGGTTAGGGGGAGGGAGAGGGGGAGGGGCTCGGTGAAGAGAATAATGCTAACTCACGTTTTTGCTTTAAGAGAATAATGCGCGCACTTCGTATTATATAGGTATCGCAGAGTCGGCACTACCCTTGTGCTGTAGCTATATCTTTGAGAATATAATTAAAATTTCCGACTTTTATTTTAACCTGATCAAGTAGTGTGTATTATAGAAGGCGTAGTGCGCATTCTGCAAATGCATTTCGTACATTTTGTATCGACATATTTATCATATGTGCAACTGTTATACGTATTACATTGACGAAAGACCAAAGTTGAATTAATGATACATTGTTTTATAATTCTCTTTCACGATGAAATAACGTATCTTTCAATGTATATTTTTGCAGGAGAATCGATCGCTATTATTTTTTCAGTCATTTTTATAAATTCAACTCCAAATCCGTTAAGCTTCTTACAACTGACATGGAAACACAGCCATAAATATGGCTAATATTTTGTGTGAGTTTTATTTTGTGTCCATCGCTCTTCGAAAGAGTATTGTTAAATAATACAGAAAGCCAATTGATTTTTAGCGCGTGACACTAAGATTTTAATAGGGAAAAATGTTTCTGATTCAAAAATTTACACTAAATTCAGCACTGCATAGCAAAACGTCGAAAACAAATAGATTCGTGAAAACAAAATATCAGAATATTATTTAAATGATATTTAAACATCTTTTTACCATTAATAAAACTTCTAAATTTTACATTTACGAGTATATATATTATATTAAAATGATATTAGAATAAGCAATATTTATTTTATTGAATAAATTAAGGGTAGAGGGGGGCAAATAGTGACGGATTTTTTCCTCTCTCCCCTACAAGCTAATTTCAAATTTACAAAATATGATATTTCACTAAAAGAGTACTTTTCACTTTCAAATATACAAAAAGCTTAATTAAATTTTCTACAAATCATGTATACGGGCTAGAATTTTATAAAAACTAAAACCTACATTTGTCACTATTTGCCCCACCCTATGGGTAAATAGTGACACCCTATGGGACAATTACAAAATACATAATTATTATCTCTTAATCGATCTTTCTTTTGACATTTTGATTAAATAAGGTAATTTATATTAATTTCTATACTCTGCCATACGTAAATTTTTATTTATTAATAAATAATAGTAGTAACATTATTTGTTAATATTTCTTATTGAAAATCACATTTATTCTGGATCTTGTCTTGTAACTAATCTCACATTATCTCAAATAAATTAGAAAAATCACATTCAAAATATTAAAAAAGCTTATTAAAAGCTTGTCATTATTTACCCAACTAAAAATTGTCATTATTTGCCGCAGAAGCTACTTTTTCCTTTAAAACTTTACTGAAAGAAATAAAATTAATATACAAGCATAGGAATTATATCAAAATAGAGGAAAAAGGTACTGTATGACACAGAATATGTTAGGTCTTATTCAATAATTCAGCAATTCATGAAATATAACTTCAAATATAAAAAAAAGATTCAGGTTTTACCTTATTTCACGAATGCAAAATTTTTAAACTTCTCCGCTAGCTATATTTGGCTTTTGATTTTTACGGCTTTTTCATAAGATGATTAAATGTTTGAGAACTGTCTTTCTGTTAACGAGTAGTGGTAAAATAGACGCGGGAAAGGAGAGAAATTTAAAGTGACACTATTTACCCCTTGTCACTATTTGCTCTCTCTTCCCTTACATAAAATTTTTCTCGTTTTGAATAGTATTTATATTTATAATATGACACGCTGATTTTAATATATTATAGAACATAACATCATTTATTTATCTGATAAGATAAATTTTGTACGATTTGACATTTACAATGTTTGGACATGATTCCCTCCATATGTTTCTATATTATCCGGATTCAAAGGTAAATAATGCATATTCATGTAGCTCGAGGTACTCTACACTCAAAGTTTCATCCGCGTTAACTAGTTAACTAGTTTCGGTCGACTGTGTTTTCTTGTGAGAGCAAGTGCCTGCCCGCGCCACCGCCAATATACCGTGCAGTATATACACCAACTGCATACTGTCCGTAGCTTATCAGAACTTTTACGCTATTACGCCGATAGCATCGCCTGCATTCCACTTACTTACTGGTATATCGTCTTATAATTTCTGCGAGTGTAATGTCGTGGCTGTGCCGTTCGTTTTATTGAACGTCAACTTATTGTCGAAGCCAATCGATTCTCGATCTTATCCGCCGCGCGGAGGATCGCGCGGAGTCGACGCGAAGACATTGACTCTGCAGCGCGAGCGGAACGGAAGTGACACGTCCGTGTGCCAGAAACGAGTACGCGCCGTATTATGAATACATACATTCACGACCGTATGCCTGTATTGGGGAGCATTTGCTCTACAGTATTCGCTCTCTCCTCGCTTATCAGTGCCGCACGATAGTCCTCGTAATTGCAATTTCCATATATTCCAGCGCGCGACACTCTGGTAATGCTCAAAGGGAGAAAGGCGCGCGGGCAGGGAAAATTAGCTGGGCGGAATTTCAATCGACCTGACCGCTAATTAGGCTCCCCAATGTCGAATACGCCCGGTCTACCCGCGGAGAAACTCGTTTCCCCGCGGTGCGGTCACGAGCCAGAGCGGACCCCGTGGCGGATTTGCTCCCTTTTCTTTTTGTCCGTGCATTAATGCATTTATAATAAATGTATTTATGGAATACGACAGGATTCGCGCAGACGCGTCCGAGTGCGCCCTGCGCCTCTCTTCGAGGGTGATAATAAATCTATGCCGTTGATAGCTTTAAGGACTCTCGTTACGTCTCGTTTATAATTATTTCTGCGAGACAGCGACCGCGGTGACGGCGGCGGCGATGACGACCTGCACGGTGGCGGCGCGGTCGGACGAGTAAAAAAGAAGGAGGAAAAAAAAGGGGGGAAAAAATAAAATAAGAGACGTCACGCGCCGTGTCGGCGTCTGCGGGTAAATTTATGGCACTATATATACGTTTCGTGACTCGTCTCGTTTGCAATTACTCGTCTTCGACGTATATGGATCGCGAGCGTTATTGACGAGACGGGACTATTTCCCGGACGATCTCGACGCGTCGAGCGAGCGCGGTATAGGATAACGAGACTGGCCGAGCCTACTGATCCATCGTCTCCGCGGCCAATATAGGGAGGGGGTAAGATGATGGTCCCGTCATGGTGTGTCGTTAAAAGTCGGCGTTTGACCCGAACCGGGGCCGACCGACGGTGGGTATTACGTGTTTGCGTGCCACGAGTATTCTTCGTGACTTCGTGCCCTTTACTTGCCCTCCTCTCCACCGACCGTCCGTCGCGGCCACGCTCCGCGAGGTTTACGAGAAGGTAAACGCGGGCCTCACGAGAGAAAGAGAGAGAGAGAGAGAGAGAGAGGGAGAGGGGGGGGGGGGCATTCGTACCATGCTAGAAAATACGCTAATGCACACCGGCGTTCTCATGGAAATCACACTGTCAGGGCGGAGAGTGAATCTACAGCTGCGGCTACAGAGATAAATCAGCAAATAAATCGCGCGTTGATTTTTCTAAAGGCCCGTCGCTTTAATTAGTTAGAAATTACTCTCGAACAAGAGAGGAACACTTATCCTTTAACTAATTGAAGTACGTGACCCCAAAACTCGTATGTCTGGATAAGAATCGCAATTATTACCTCCCTCCCCGTGTACATCGTAATTATTATTACTCCCGTAATTAACTAAATATACTCGTTTTCACGTCGTAAAAACAATCTGAATTTATGTACTCGTAATTTACGTGTAGCGTTAAATATATGTATATGTATGCGCGTGGGCCATTTGATTCTCATCCACGAGAGACGAGTGGGGTCCTCGCGCGAGGCAGACAAATCTCGTATAGGCTTTGTCGAGGAGAGCCGGTCCGTGAATATATACGAATATCTCGGTGTAGCCTCGGTCTCTCCCCGGCCGCACTGCGATACTCGATCGGCTGTCATAATTCCCGCGAAATGTTTGTATGGTAGAAGCGAAGGTGAATTACGCGAAAGCGCTGCGCGAGTCGACGGGCGGTCACTCGATGAATCACGTCATAAATTACGTCGACTAATGAAGTCGCTACTACCAAAGAACAGCGCCGAGATTTACGTCCTTGGCGAGCTTTAGGCCAAAGCTTCGAGGTTTATTTATAACTTCGTATCGCGTTCCTTTTGCGCCTCCTCGCGCACTCGGTGTGTTATCTTCGTATCTTTTTAGCTTCTCTTTCGCGGGAGGGAGGGCGGGGGGGGGGAAGGGGAGCGTGTACATACGCACATTGCGTGCAGGGCCCTGTTGAATCTTTGCGGTGCGTAGCGCGGTTTGATCGGTATCGGCCCTCGAAGCGAGTCATTTATGTAGTCATATTCGTTGTTAGTATTAGAAAGCGTGTATAGTACCCGTGCAATTACTTGCGATGAACGTGCGTTTAAAAAAGTAGATAGCAACACTTTATTCCTCGCTCGGCCGGATAACATTTCAATGCTGAGAAACTTCACGCGACTAGCTAGAAAATAGCGCGTACCGAGAGTTTAACAAACGCTCGCGGGTACTTCGAATAAGTTTACCGCGTGCGAATCCTTCCTTCGTATACCGTACGTGTCAAGGAACTTAACGCTTTGCAATCTGAAGTTTGTATTAAGTTTATACGATAACTAAACTGCTGCACGAGTACGTTAACTGTTACTTTCTTTTGTCTTTTCCTCGCGTTTCTGTACGTTGCTATTGTGTATACGTAAGATAAGATGAAAAGACGGGCGTTTACGGATATATGATGTGCGTCTGCCGCCCACGCGCGTTTGTAGTAACTTTTGTAAAACGTCGTGTTGTAAAGCGCTTTTAAAATTACGTTCAACATTGCATTGCCTAAATTTGTTAATGATTAAAATATACGTAATAATAATAGAATTTTGTGTTGTATTGTAGCCCCCCAGATAATTATAACTTTTATGACATTATATTAAACAATTGTTAAAATGTATTAAAATTAAATTATAATTAATTTTAAAATATTATTTCAATAGTAAATTTATTTTTTTGACAGTTATTTGTAAAAATATATTTTGAATTGTTATAAAATCTTATATGTATAAATATTGATTGGAGATAATATTTCTTATAAAATTCTTCTACAGCAAGAGTATATTATTAATATTTTCAAGTTTTATATTTAGTTTTTAGTCTTTATATTTTGTTGAACTGTTTGAGATTTAATATTATAATTTCAAAAGAAGAAAATATATTTATTGATCTTGCACATCTTTTCTTTCCAGATAACTTTTAAGATAAATTTAATTCGGTGCATAGTATCGATGATTAAAAGTTGCTGTTCAAACAACGAATTCTTCGAGAATCTCCTTAGGACATGCCTTGGATTTCAATAAACGACTTCACCACAAAATTACTCGAGTTGAAGAGGCTAATCGGATTCGCGAGACATCACGTTAGATGAAACAAGACCGATTTGTCTCACGATTTTATCTGCAAGCCACGGGCAATTCGCGCGGCAGCAAAAATCCCGCTAGATGCCAATGCGTATAGCGTTATGCGCTTTCAGAGGTTGCGCCGACGACGGCGGACCGTTCGCCGATAACAAAAGGGCAAGGGTCGCAGCGGTTGCGCCCTCGGCGGAGGTGCCGGAGGAGGAAAATTGCTTACCAGGCGTGGGAGGAGGATCGGTCGGTGGATCCGGGAGTCGTGCTGGCGGCGAATCGAGCAGAGTCAGAATGCACAGCGCGGTGACCAAGACCGCGGCGAGTCCCACTCTGCATAATCTCCTCGTTCCCGCGACCGGCATGCTGCTCGTTTCCTCGTATCACTATATTTTTTTACCCGTATATACGCGAAAATCTTTTTCTCATTCGTCGCGCGCGTTCGTCATCACGAGCGCCGCAACGGCGGCGACATACCTCGGACAGTTTTCTTTTCCCTTCGCGAGAGACCCCTCTGCACAGCTGCGGAGCTCGCCGGTAATGCACCTCAGCCACGAATGCATCTCGGACGTTGACACGACGGGGGCGGGTCAACGCCGTGCATCTTACGCAGTTTTCACCTCATTCAGTTTTCACTGCATACGATTCCTAGTCGTCACGCGATATGCCAGCACGTATACAGTCTTTTTAAGCGGTTCGCAGATTTGCAGTTCGCTCACATGGTTCCATTTTATTCTTTCTTCTTCTTCTTCTTCCTTTCCTTTCCTTACGAATATATAAATATATATATTCCTTCGGTGTTTTGTGGAAAATGATTTTTCGATTTCATTCACTCGCGGCGACGTGAGTCGCTTAGAGATTTAGCTACGGTTTGCTAACGAACTAGTTGTAGGTAATTATTCGAGTTGCTGCCTACTTGGCGGCGCAAACTTGCTCTGAATCAGGTTCCTCTCATCTCTCTCGGGTGATCTCATCCGGATCGATCTGTCGGCCGCCTTCGGCTCGGCACGCGTTCTCGCGATGCATCGAGGAGATTGGCCGTTAGTCACACATAATTCTTGGAAGATTCGTTCGTTATGAAATCAGTAGCGCATTTTTTTTTTTAGCTGAACGAGAGTAAAATGCGCTTGAAACGAGCCGCGCACTCTGTCCGCGTGTGGGAGCGAGCGCACGAATCTGTTTCTCCGCTTCGTTTCGCGCGCGATGCCCCCGACCTCCCACGCGATCACGACGACACGCTGCCGCTTCTTCCTCGGCTTTGTAGGTAGACGACGACGACGACCATGTATGGCCGTCCTGGAAGGTCCGCGTCCTCCCGCCTCCGGGCTTTCGATAATTCAATTATACCGACCCGTTCCGATCGATCGAGCTCCGCGGTCGAAGGGTTTTTCTGGATCCGCGATCCCGGTTTTTTTTCTCTCCCTCTTCACGACTCAGCGAAGCGCGAAAATTTTTGAAGGGCCCGCGGCGGGGGCTATCGCGATCGCATCTCGCCGCGGTGAAAAAGCACGGCTCACGCGCGCCGCACACTGGCGTGACCATTTCGAATTCATTTTCACCTTCGGCCCGCTCGATTTTACGCACGGCCACCGAAAGTGGAACGCTCTCGGTTGGAGAATGACGCGCGCGACGCGCCTCTTTTTTAATCGTCACATTCCACGCGCGGTTGGACTGATTTCACAGGCGTGAGAAACGCGCGTCGGAATTAAATTTGCCGCCGGCTGGCGCGTCACGGTGTGATACCCCCGGTGTAAACTGTTCGCCAAACTAAATCCAAGAGCGCGATCGGAATCTCTCGCGAATTAATTTACGACGTCCGTTTTAATCCGTGCTCTCTCTCTTTCTCTCTCTCTCTCTCTCTCTCTCTCTCTCTCTTCGATCGAACACCGTGGCTTCTCTCGGATTATCTTCTCGCGCACTTGAAACTTAAATTTCCGTAATCGCGAAACACGGGAAATGTAGAGCAAAAGCTTGAGCTCGATCTTTTTACGATTATCTTGACTTGCACTGATGTATCTTTGCCGGTTTTTTGGTAATCATTTAGAATTAATTAAATGCATTTCACATGACATATTACACAAACCGGAAAATTCTTTCTCTTTTAGAAAGATTTTTTTTATTGTCTTTCTTTCTCTTTTCCTTTCCGTGCTGACGATATTGCGTCGCTGTTGGTGCACGAGGGGCACGTGCACGCGGTGGCTTTCCTCTCGCAACCGCCTGTTGGCGGGTTGCACGTGGTCGGCGGATCGACCGGCAGGATTGATGCAACCTGGCCTGCGCGAGAGTCGAGAGCGTACTGCGTTCGAGCGGGAGGTTAACGCGCCACCGGGGCCTCGTACCGAGGCACGACGGCGACTTTGGACCCGTTGCCTTAGCATGCCTCGCCAATGCGCCTTACTATACCCGTCCCTACTCGCCTTTACCTTGCCTTGCCTCGACCTAGCTCTTCTCGACTTGCTTTGACTTGCCTCTTAGCTTAGCTTTATCCCACTCTTCGGTTGGTTGGTTGGTTGGTTGGTTGGTTGGTTGGTTGGTTGCTTGGTCGGTCGGTCGGTCGGTCGGTCGGTCGGTTGTGTTCCTTGTCCACCCTGACAACGTTAGTTGAGTTTACCTTGTCGCAACCTTGTGAATCGCGTCGCGTTTCACGTGCTCCTCTATTTTCATGTCTTCTTCGTTCTTTTTCCTTGTCGTTTTGCACCTCCGTTTTGTCGCTTCTGTATACCATTAGTCTCCTCTATGTTCATTACACGGCACTAATTAGTTTTTGCGGTGTTTCTTGTTTTGATAAATCGATATTCGACTAATGGATAAACATTAACGTTGCACAACATAAATTTATATTAAATTATCACATATTTGTCTTAAGAAATACAATATTATAAATCAATATATACGTCGTTACTTTCATGCGTTTTCTATTTTAAATACTACATTTTTTTCGGGACGAGTTTAATAGAAGTATTCTGATCTTCGATTTTAATTTAAACATATATATGCTATTTTCTCAAGATTTATATTTGGATATATTTAATATATTTAAATATATTTGAATATGTTAAATATATTTTATACACTTTGTACACAATTCCATCCAAGTTTCAGCTCTTTATTAACATTTTTTTAACTGTTTTTATTTCGCTAAAGCCTAATTTTTTTCTCAATTATGTTAATTGTTTTAATATATCTTAAATGTTATAATAAAAAAATTTAGTTGCAGTTATCATTTTGTATTTTATAATCTGAGAATGTCTTAAAAATAACTATATGTATAACGTACAATGTATTTTATATTGTTTGATCATAGTATACTTTTACTTATCCTTTTCTACTAGACTTCTATGAAGTAAAATCATTTAGATTTTTATTAATTTTTAAAGATTATAGGTATATGTACATAAAACCAACTGTTATATTTTATATTTTATGTGAAATAATTTATAATTTTTTTATATTATTTTTAATTTATCTTTGATTGTTTTCTAATTTAAATGGTTTGTAAAAACGTTTTTGTATATCTATATTTTATCTTGAAAGTCGTGAGAATTATTGTAATTTTTACAAGAATTACAATAATCTCATCATTAAGAAGAATATTAATCTGATCATTAAGAGAAGAATATTTCTACTTTTTACGGAAATTGTGTGTTTATTTTCGAACTGATTCACGTACCTTTCGGCATTGCTAAATTTTACAGCGATGTCGAGACGTCGAATTGTCGTAAATTCGTTACGCGCTTTTGCGTTAGCTACATCTGTTTTCTAGGAGTATATAACCGGCGCGATTTCCTCGGTCACCGTAACGTCGTTATCCTCCGGGAGTTGTATGTCCGGCTGTAATAAAACGCCTTTCCCCTTCTGCCTCTCTCTCCTCGCACCGGCTTTATGCCCTTACAGCCGACTTTATCTCATCTTATCTCTACACATTGCTTGACCTTTCCTCTTGCATCCCACTGTTTTCGCCTGTCCACCCGCGTACACGAGGTTGCTCCTCGCCGCGCTTCTTTCTTTCCTACCTCTCTTCCGCGAATTCTCTCACGTTCGTACCTCTTCTCGTCCTCATTTCCCTTTTTCCTCGTCCGCCTGACCACCGTCAGGCGTGAGCTACTTGCTCGTGTCAAAATCGATCGCGTGCCGCAAGATATTGACCATACGTGTCCTATCCCACACGCGGAATAGATTGCATTAACATCTTCCTGACGCGTCTGATGTCGTTATACGGAGTAATCGTTACAGATGATCTTTTTGCGGAAATTACGATAGACGCGCGGTTTTGTCCCGCGGCGCGTGGAATGCGAGCAGGAGAGAGAAACCGCGTGCCAGTATTCGACGAGAGAATGCGAATGGTCGTTCTTTCATTTTATCGTTCCTACATCACGGGGCTCACACGATTTTCCGCGAACCGTGGCGCGTGTCCATGACTGTCGCGAAGGCTAATGCAGTGATATGTATTGCGGAATGATCGTTCATTATCTGGACCGGATCTGGTCGGATCTTCGATTGTGCGGTTGCGGGCAGGGTATATATAGGTAAAGTCGGTCGGGATCGGATGACGCGCGGGGAGACAACTTCGGCGTTCGTTCTCGACGTTAATAAATCTCACGAAGCAGCATCGGTATGTTAATATCGGTCGAAGAGATCGGCGAAAAAGAAGGTGCAAATAAGGCACGGGAATACGGTACCACGGTTACTTTCCTCGATACACGCATGCACGCCCCGCTCTCCGGGACGGGCCCGTCCCAAGAATGTCACCGCGTGTATAGAAGAACAGGAACGGGGGCGCAGTACATCTCGCGCAATGATACAAACAGCAATCGTTCCGAACTTATTATCGCCGGTAAGAAACTCATAAATGCTTATGACTTGCTTGCCGGTTTTTGCCGTGGCGTCCGTACGATCCAGTTAAAGCGACGTGTTTCGCCGGATTGACTCGGCAACCAGCTGGAGATAGACTCCGGCGGACGCGGCGGAGAAGCCGGACTGTGGAGATCTCGCCGCGTCCCCGCTGCGTGCCGCGGGACGGAGCGAGAGAGAAAAAGGCGACGGGTAAGAATGGCAGAGAGAGAGACGGAGCGATAGGGCTGGGCAGGGGGGAGGGGGTGGCGGGGCGGGCGGGAGAACGGGAGTACAAAGAAGAGGTGGAGGAGCCTGGGGAGTCCCTTCAACGTCATTTGTAATACCGGATGGCCTAATGATGCGACTGGTCGTGACAGGACGGGAATAAGAGTGGAAGCGTGCGAGAGCGCGTTGAAGATTCACCATGGGTCTCTCCTCCTCGCTGCTCTCTCGTCGCGTATACCAAAGGTATACGAAAGCGGGCGGAAGGGGGGGGGGACCGCCGGTCATATACATCCACGTGTCCCGGTCACTCGGTTGTTAAGGACGCGCAGAAAGCCTCGGGGACGTAAGTATTCCACCCGGGCCCGTGATGCGCGACGGCGATTTGCTTCGCCGTGGTTGTAGATCACGGGCAAAGGGGGATCTATCTATTCGTCGTGCGCGCACCACTATGACCACCGTAATGTATACGCGAGAGTGGCGTTTCTTTTTTTTTTTTCGCCGTGCGTCTCACGCGGAGAAGTACGCGCGCGCGTTGAAATTAATCTCCCACTGGTTGCCTTCACGAGGAGCCACGATAATTTACTCGCGCGGAGGAGGCGATTGCGCTCATTGCCTGTCTCGAATCTGGCGACACGTGTGCGACTCGCAAAAACGGAGGGGGTTTCGACAGTCATTCGAAAGAGAGAGACGACGTGGTTTTTCGTCGATCACAATGTGAAGATACACGGTTCCGTCCCATCATCGCTAAATGGAATTTCAATGGCAGATTCCTTGAACATGGAATAGAGTTCTAATTAAATCAGTGAATAGACAAATTTATTTACCTTGCGAATCTTAATTCTACAAAGATACGTACAAGCAAATTGAATTAAAAAAATATGTACGGTATTCATTACATGAAAAGATTTAAACGAATAAAAATGAAAAAAGATGCATGTTTAGAGATAATATTATCTGCCGCTGAAGGCAGAATTCTGTAGAATAAACTTAATGGTAAAATGAATAAGAATTCATAACAATACTACAATTAAATTACAAACTAGAAAGATTCCCAGAAATAATCAACAATTCGAATATAATAGGCTAATGGGAATCGGCGCGTTAATTATTGCGCAAAATTATACAAATTTTAATAACTATGCAATTAATTATAATTTT